GTCATGTATGGATGGGAGAGTTGGACTATGAAGCTGAGTGCCAAAGAATTGATGCTTTTGAACTGTGGTGTTGGAGAAGACTTTTGAGGGTCCCTTGGACAGCAAGGAGATCCAACCAGTCCATCCTAAAGGAAATCAGTCCTGAATATTCATTGGAAGGACTGGTGCTGAAGGTGAAACTCCAATGCTTTGGCCACCTGATGCGAAGAACTGATTCATTTGAATCAGTTGAAAAGAATTCATTTGAAAAGACCCTGATACTGGGAAAGGTTGAAGGTGGGAGGAGAAGGGGATGACAGAGGATGAGATGGTTGGACAGCATCACCAGCTCAATGGAGAGGAGTTTGAGTAAACTCCAGGAGTTAGTGATAGACAGGGAGGCCTGAAGTGCTGCAGTCCATAGGGTCACAATGAGTCACACATGACTGAGCAACTGAACTGAACTAAACTGTGGATTTATGTATTTATGTAATATGTAATAGATATTTAATATATAGTTCATACTTATGGACACTATATTGACACTATATGGACAGAAGAGCTTGGCAGGCTACTCTCCATGGCGTCACAAAGAATTGGACACGACTGAGGCACTTTCTCGGAGAAGGCAATGGCACCCCACTCCAGTACTCTTGCCTGGAAACTCCCATAGATGGAGGAGCCTGGTAGGCTACAGTCCATGAGGTCGCTAAGAGCCGGACACGACTGAGCGACTTCACTTTCCGTTTTCCCTTTCACGCATTGGAGGAGGAAATGACAACCCACTCCAGTGTTCTTGCCTGGAGAATCCCAGGGATGGGGAAGCCTGGTGGGCTGCCGTCTCTGGGGTCGCACAGAGTCGGACACGAGTGGAGCGACTCAGCAGCAGCAGCAGAGCCACTTTCTATTTCACTATACTTGATAATTTAATATAAAGCAATACTGAAATCCATTCCAGCCCTGTAGGTCTATGCTTCTATTCATATATTCTTTAATTCCAATAAATATAGTTTGTTTGTGGTCACAGTTTAACATCTCTGAAATCAAATTTGCCTGTACCAAATAAAGGAGAAAGCTGTGAACCAATTGACACTTCCTGTCCAGCTACTAGCTTGTGTCTGGCTAGTAAGTTTCTATATACACAGTTGTCATCTGAACTGAAATTGCTAATGCTTATTGAGGGCTTCCCTGGTGACTCAGTGGTAGAAAATCCACCTGCCGATGCAGGAGACTGGGGTTTGATCCCTGGATCAGGAAGATCCGCTGGAGGAAGAAATAGCAACCCGCTTCAGTGTTTCTGCCTGGGAGATTCCATGGACAGAGGAGCCTGGTAGGCCTGGGGGCCACAGAAGAGTCTGACACAACTTGGCAACTAAACAACAACCACCTTGCTTGTTGAATACTTACTTTGTTCCGGAAACTGTCCTAAGAAGCACACATATTTTCTTATTTGTTACTTACAACATCCTCATGAAGTCAGTGCTCTATTCACCCCATTTTATAAATGAGAAAATTGAGTGTCACACAGGTCTAAAGTCATATAAGTAAAAATTGGTACTGGGATTTGAACTCAAGCACGCATGACTTCAGATCTCCCATCCTAAGCACTACTTTGTACTTCATTGTTTATTTGCACCTGTAGCAGCTTAAATGTAGATCCCTAAGGTTAAGTTTGTGTCAAGACCGTTACACTTTGATGCTGCATTGAAGAGAAACATTGTTGTGAATCCAGAACGCCTATCATGTGCTAAGCGATGCAATTGAACACAGTAGAAATTGTCAATTCTTGTAATAATTCACAGAGTTTCCAAAGTTGGAAGAGGCTGTGTTTCACTAATTGCAGCATAATTAAGATGCAATGTCCCTTGGATGACAAACATTTGTCACTGTTTCTGTTAACTTTTTCTTTAAAAAACAAAACACAATTGTTTGTATGAAAAGCGTATGCACAAAATATCAGCACTGTTTGTAAAAGACTAGAGACCATCACTAGGGAACTGTTACAAATTTTAGTGCGTCCGTGTTGTGGAATATGTGAAGCAATAGAAAAGAAAGAGGCACGTGTACATGTGCTGACATGGAACAATCTCTAGGAAATACTTCAAGTGAAAAAAACAAGATATGGAGAAGTAAATAGCATGCCAAAGTGTGTTAAATTATAAAAGGAGAGGAAAACAGACATATATTCCTGTGTAACTGGACATGGAGAGAGCTTTTTCCTGTTGTCCTGAAACTGCTGCTGAAACCCAAAGCTGAACCGAGAAGGCCCCAAGGAGTCCACATTCTGCATTTGAAGAGCTGCCAGTGGCTGGACCCAGCTGTCTTCCAGCAGGACTTTGAAGAGCCATTACTCTACCAGCCCTTCATCAATCCCGATTCTACTTCTCCCCACCTATTCCCCATTCCCACCCATCTCCTCACAGACAAAATGTTACCAGTGGTCAGTGGGAAGAAGGGATGGAGAGATGGGAGGAAAGCCAGGCTTAAAGATAAATATGGTTTTCTGAAAAGAGACCCATCTCTTCCCTCTCCCTCCATGGGAAGGGGTGGACAGGGGGAGTTGTAGTCTCTTAGATGCAAGAGAGAAGGGCTCAAGAGAATCATTAGTGAAGAGTGGGCATGCCTTCAGGAGGAGGAGCAGGCTGGCAGCCCCCAGATGTCTGTTACTTACTAATCTGCTCTGCCCATTGCTTCCTAAGCAAAGGAAAATGCAAATGGAGAGAGGCCACATGGAAGGAGACTTTGGGTGACATGGTGGAGGGCTCCGGGTGGAAGAAGCTGAACCTGGGATCACCGTGCTCACACACCCCTTCACTTCCCCATCTTAGACTGACTAACACAAGCTGGCAGTCAGCTGGAAGATACAGCCGATGTATGAGGCTCACTCAGTCCTAGAGGAGATGCCTAGGAGCACTCCAGGGACTGATTCTTTGTCATATCTACATGTTCTTGTTTCGTTGATACAGGTACTGATTCTTTGTCATATCTGCATGGTCTTGTTTCATTTATACCTGTATAACTTCTTTTGTAAAAATAGATGTTATTCTAGTCTTTATCTTTTTCCAGAGCCTAAACATTTAAGTTCATTTTCAGATCTATTTGCTGTTTAGTTAAACCAAATTGATTAATCTCCTTGTTGGTTTTATAGGCTTAATTTTATTTGATAATTTTCTTCATATGTTTTCGAATTTTGATGCATAGACTTATCCTGGATTGTACATTCTTTTTCCTCTCTCTCTCTCTTTGCTCACCCCATTTTTATGTAGTGGTTTTGGAGTTGCCATCAATCCAGAACCAAATATTAAAATATTGATGTCCCAGTCCCTGAGGTCATATTGAAGATACAGGAAAAATAATACAATTTGTGCTCTAATGTCTATTACCATGTGTTACCTAATTTAAAAAAAGCAAATATATATTCAAATGTAGTTGATTAATTTCCAGTAATACATAATTCAATTGAATAAAGACAAATAATTTTAAAATGCTAGTTTAATCAAAAAAGAAGTGGCAATTTATGTACTGCACTCCAAAATTTGGCAGACTGACCAAGAAATGAAAATTAAGCCCATGGGATCCTTTAGTTTCTGGATATGGAAAATTATTAGATTCAAATTTCTGGTTCAAAAGAAGAAAAGTGATGTACAAATGTAAAGATAAGTATATGCTATATTGAATTGTAAAAGCCCCCTTAGGGGGGCTTCCCAGGTGGCGCTAGTGGTAAAGAACTTGCGTGCCAATGCAGGTAGACATGAGATTCAGGTTCGATCCCTGGGTTGGGAAGATCC